ATTATCTGGCCTTCCAGGGAACAGTCAGGGTTGATTTCTTTTAGGATTGACTGATCTGATCTTCTTGCAGTAGAGTGGTTTAACTTTATCTCCAGGAGAGGACAGGGCTGTGGGGCCTGTGCCAGGGATGAACATAGGTTATGAAAACAGTTTCAGCTGTATTAGGAAGGAGGAGGAGGAGGATATATATCCCAGTGTACCAAAGGTGTTCAAGAAAACTGAACCCAGGGTGGAGCTATGCAGATGAAGAGGTGGGACTATGCAGACATGAGGCCTGCTACAGTGCTCAACGCAGCTCCCTTTGAGTTCTATGGGTCAAATTAAACAGGCAGAGAAAGTAAACCCAGGGTGGGGCTACGCAGATGAAGAGCTGGAGTCATGCGGATACAAGGTCCAGTTTGTTTCTAAACAGCTCCTTTTGAATTCTATGGGACAGATCAAATAGGCGGATTAAATAGACCTAGGGCGCAGCTATGCAGATGAAGGGGGAGAGTTGGTTGAGGTTGGTTTCTGCCATCTATGGCTGCCATTCACTCATATGGGAATAAGGGCTGTACATGTGGACAGAGAGATGTCGCCCACCATTTTGGGCACTGCAATGTGGAGACACTTTCACATGGTTGCCAACCTCCAGGTGGGGCCTGGAAATCTGGAATTTCAACTTATCTCCACATTACAGAGATCAGTTCCCCTGGAGAAAATGGCTGCTTTAGGGGGTGACCTCTACGGTATTATACCAGGGGTGGCCAAAGTTGCTTAACATAAGAGCCACATAGAAGAAAGTCCAGGGCTATTTTTGGGCAGGAACGCACAGGAACAGAGTTCCAGCTGGCTCCCAAGTTGGCCACGCCCAGCAGGAACTCATTAGCATAATAGGCCACACCCAACAGCAGAAACTCATTAGGATTGGTTACATTAGGGGTGTGTGGCCTAATATGTAAAGGAGTTCCTGCTACAAGAAAGGCTCTGGGTTTTGACAACAAACAAGGTAAACAGAATAAGAAGCAAAAGGTGGGTGTGGCTGGATGACCACACTTCTGGTAACATGGGGGTGTGGCCTAATATGCTAATGAGCTGTGCTGTCAGGGTTGTGGCCTAATATGCTAATGAGTTTCTGCTGTTGGGTGTGGCCTATTATGCTAATGAGTTCCTGCTGGGCTTTTTCTACAAAAAGAGCCACATAGAAGAAACATCAGATTTGCTTTTTATTAACATTAACATTAAATAACACGACCAGAAACAAAAACAAAACGGGGTAAAAACAGATATTGATAATGGTATTCAAGGAGACAAATGCTTTCTCCCCAGGCTCCACACCCAAAATCTCCAAGAATTTCCTAACTCAGAGCTGGCAACCCTACGACATTCATCTTTAGAATCTAGCGATAAGAGAAGATGCCCTCTAACAGCATCTTCTCCTTGAGGCACAACCTCAAAAGTGAAGTAATAAAAGACAAACTCAGTGGTACTCATTTCTTATTTTATTGTCCATTGGTGTCATAGTAGGTTACAGTTAAGGATTTCACCTTCAGAAACGTGTACAGACAATTCAGCTAACAAGAACAAAACGCAGAAATTTGGGGGCGGAGGGACGGGAAATAGGATAGGATCTCAGCTTCTTGGCTGTGCATGATAACAGTGCGGCTGATGGGCTCCTCAGTTTCTAGAATAGGTAAAAGGTAAAGGTTCCCTTGCTCGAAAGCCAGTCGAATCCGACTCTAGGGTTGCGGTGCTCATCTCCATTTCAAAGCCGAAGAGCCAGCGCTGTCCGAAGACGTTTCCGTGGTCATGTGGCCAGCATGACTAAACACCAAGGCGCACGGAACGCTGTTACCTTCCCACCGAAGTGGTCCCTATTTATCTACTTGCGCATTCTTGCTTTCGAACTGCTAGGTTGGCAGGAGCTGAAACTAGAGACGGGAGCTCATTCCGTCATGCGGCACCCGGGTCTCGAACTGCTGAACTACCGACCTTCCACAGCCTGCAGTTCAGCATCTTAACCACTTGAGCCACCACAGCTCCTAGACTCTAGAATAGGAGACCTCAGCAATTTTGAACCTGTGGGCCCTTTGGGAATTTTGAGAAACGGTAGTGGGTGCCACCGCAAAATGGCTGCCACAGGAGGCAGAATCAATCACAAAATGGCAGGAGGAGGAGGAGGAGATTGGATTTACACCCCGCCCTTCATTCGGAGTCTCAGAGCGGCTTACAAACTCCTTTCCCTTCCCCTCCCCACAGCAGACGCCCTGTGAGGTAGGTGGGGCTGAGAGAGCTCTTTCAAGAACTGCCCTTTCAAGGCTGAATCAATCACAGAATGGCTGCCACAGGGGGTAATTACAAAATGTTGCAGGGATTCAAAGAAAGCATTATCTTGTGACGGAGGCAACTATTTCCAAATGGACACTGCAAAATGATGCTCTCTAGAGTCTTTCTAAAGCAACTCCTGCTTCAAATGAGATGGAGAATAGCCAGGATTGGCTCTTAGGTGAGGGAACAGGGTTCTCGGAAAGAAGAAGCCAGTGAACATCATAAAACATACTGGCAGGCAGCACATTGGAGATCCCTGTTCTACAGGATGAACGGGAGAGTGGAGACTTGTCGACATTTCCTGTCAGAATTGGTTTCATACTGGTTTTAAAGGAGCGGAGTGTCTCTCTCCCTTCCCCTCCCCAAAATGGGCGGGAAATGGGATCTTTGACTGGAAGGGGAGAAAAACAGATGGAAAATCAGTAGGCAACAGCTTCTTTCTGCTTCAATCCTACTTCAATTTGCAGAGTCAAGCACGCAGTGAGTCAGCATGGTGTAGTGTTTCGAGTATCGGATTAGGATCTAGAAGACCCTGAAGCTCGATCAGTGACTTTAGATTGATTCATCTATCTAACTTACCTCACAGGGTTGTTGTCAGGATGAAACGGCGGAGAGAACCCCAAATACTGCTTAGAAGAAGCCAGGGGACAAAATGTGCCTAGACTGACAGAGATTCAGGAGACCAGAGCAGCTATTCTAGATAAACTAGAATGAAAGCCATGTCAAACTCAAGTTGTGTTATGGCTGTCTATCCCCCCCACACACACACACACCCGCCACCAAGTATGGTACAGGTATTTTGGTCTCTGCATCTAGCCCACAAGGGAAACAAGGACGGACATGGGTCTAACTGTGCCAGTAGCAGAACCTTTTCTTCAACTGGTATATGTTCCCTGCAGGACTGTAACAGGACCAGTTATATTTTCAGAATGCTGCCTGGAGCCACAATGCCCAATTCTAGCAACAGATACCAGGCTGAAGATAGACAAACCTTTTAAAAAGAAAGTACTCTTCGGCCCCGGTCACACGGGAGGTTTTGGGCCGGAAGAGGGATGGATTGGGGGTGCAGCAAACGGGGGCGAGCACACCGCAACATCTGGGAAGTGGCGTGCACCTGTCCCCGATCCGGCCCTTCAGGCTGAAAATGCGCTGAAAAAAAGAACCAGCAAAAGAGGACTTACCTGAAACGGCACAGCAAGCGCGGCCGTTGGATCGCCAGCGCACCTGTCTTCAGGCGCATTCGAGGCTCCCAGCCGAACTGCGCATGCGCACACATGCGCAGCTGGCTGCCTCGCGCTCCCTTCCGTGGCTTTCTCCCCGGCATCTGATCGTGCCGGGAAGCAACTGCGCGGCGGCTCACGGGATCCGTCTGATCCCGTCGCCGTGTGTTTCTTTTGGTGCGGCTTTACAAAGCCACACTTTGGCCGCATCAATTTCCCCCCCGTGTGACAGGGGTCTTCACTTTCAATCCACTTTCCAACTACATTTTACTGTGTGAACTGGCAAAAAATCCAGTCGGAAAGTGCGTCGAAAGTGGATTCTTTAGTGTATGTGATCTCAGCCTAACAGTGAAAATGGTTAGTAGAATAGCCCAGAATGTGGGTAAAACCTTCACCATAATGTAAACATACTAAACGGACATCTACTGAGCAAAGCCACCAGTCCGCCAAGCCCTACAGTGTCTACTCAGGCTGGATCTACAAGATCTCAAAAAAGAAGGGTCTTGCCCAAAACCTGAGATCCTTTAAGTGGAGGTGGCAAGGATAGAACTGAGGACCGGCTGCATGCAAAGCTGAGGCTCTGATCTTCAGGCAGGGGCCTTCTTGACATTGGTGCCAGGGCTGGATGGACCAGGCTAGCTCGACCTTGTCAGACCTCAGAAGGTCAGCAGGTTAGTACTTGGATGGAAGACAGCTCTGACTTGGATAGTCCAACCTCATCAGGTCTTAGAAGATACATTCAGGTAGGGGTAGCCATCTTGGTCTGAAGCAGCAGAACAAAGTTTGAGTCCAGTGGCACCTTTAAGACCAACGAAGTTTTATTCAAGGTAGGAGCTTTCATGTGCAAGCACACTTCTCCAGATACAGAAGAAGTGTGCTTGCCAGGGGTCATTTCCTGCAGGAGCGCAGAGGAACGGAGCTCCGGCAGTAAAGAGCCCAGGGGGCGGGCACATGCAACAAGCCCCACCCCCTGCTCCCAGCGGCCCTCAGTCAGAGCAAGAAGCAGCCAGGTAAGTTGCAGAGCTCCCCCCGGTCCAAAACAGTCCAGTGGCACCTTTAAGACCAAGTTTTATTCAGGTACAAGATCTCCCTTCTCTGCGAGGACAGATCTGCACGTTCCCCCCCCCCCAATAGCTAGCAATCCAAAACAGTCCAGTGGAGCCTGAGCAGTGGGAGTGATGTCAGGGGGTGTGGCATATGCAAATAAGATATGCTAATGAGTTGTGCTAATGAGCTCCTGCACCTCTTTTTCTACGAAATGACCCCTGGGGCTTGCACACGAATACTTACACCTTGAATAAAACTTTGTTGGTCTTTAAAGGTGCAACTGGACTCAAACGTTGTTCAGATCTTGGGAGGTAGGCAGGGGTGGCCCTGGTTATGACTTGGATGGGAGACCACCAAAGGAAATCCAGGGTTGCTGCACAGAGGCAGGTGATGGCAAACCAACTCTGTTCATCTCTTGTCCTGAAAACCCCACTGGGGTTGTGCTGTCTCGGTTGTGACTTGACAGCACTTTCCACCACCAGGAATAAAAAACCTTATCCAAATTAAGAGGAGGTCAGAGCCACAAAACTGGAGGAGACCGAATTAAACAAATCTTTTTTAAACAATCTAATGTAGCGATGCTGTTAAATTTGGAGATCTCTGGCTGAGTGAAAAGTCTGAGAGTTCCTGAGGCTAAATCCTCACTGATGTGAGTGGCAGAATCCTGTGTAAGACTAGGAAACAAATGAAAAATGGACTGGATGTATCGGAGTAGCTTTTAAAATTGCCAAAAGATTTACACAGCTCGGTTTGCCAGTCTGCTTTGCAAGTCAATTTCTTGTCCGTTGCGAGGCGAAACCTTTTCTGAAGGTTCGCGCAGACTCTCTCGGGCGTGGATCCTCTTGTGGCTGATAAGGCGCGAGTTCTGGCTGAAGCCCTTCCCACAGAAGGAGCACTCGTACGGTTTCTCTCCCGTGTGTGTCCTCTCATGCACAATGAGGTTGGAACTCCGGCTGAAGCTCTTTCCGCAGCTGGCGCACCGGTAGGGTTTCTCTCCGGTGTGGGTCCGGGTGTGGGCCAGGAGATTGGAACTCTGACAAAAGCTTATCCCACAAACTTTGCACTTGTACGGTTTTTCACCGGTGTGCGTCCGCTCATGAGTAATGAGTTCGGAGCTTTCGATGAACCTTTTCCCGCATTCTGCACACTGATATGGTTTTTCCCCGGTGTGGATTTTCTGATGTCGAATGAGAAGCGAACGCAAACTGAAAGACTTCCGACACTCAGGGCACTGGTAGGGTTTCTCACCTGTGTGGATCCGCCGGTGGCTGATGAGTTGTGAGCTACGTGAGAAGCTCTCCTCACAGTCTAAGCACTTGTATGGTTTTTCCCCTGTGTGGGTCCGTTGGTGGTTTATAAGGTTCGAGCTACGGGTGAAACCTTTCCCACAATCTGAGCACCTGTACGGTTTCTCACCCGCATGGGTCCTCTGGTGGCTAATGAGGTTTGAGGTCCGGGAAAAACTTTTCCCACAGTCTGAGCAATTGTATATTTTCATACCAAGACTGATCCCATTATTCATGTTAAGGTCGGGGCACGAGTTTGAGATTTCCATCCTCTCATCCTTGCAGAGTCTCTGATGAATTGCTGTTGTGCTGAGGACATCTATGGCACCATTTCCTCCTTCACAAATGACCAACATATTCAGTCCCGTCTCTCTGTGGGGCTCCTTTTGCTGCTGTAACTTATCCAAATTCTTCGGGGCTTCGGCTTGGTTCTCCTTGGCTTCCGTCAGTGATGTCACCTGCCCGTTTCTTTTGAAGAGGAAATTCTTCTGATTTCTCTGCCCATCTAGAATTAAAACAAAAACAGAGAAAAAGTGTGAATTATATATCCTGTACTGGAGAGAGGTACAATTTTCTCCCAAAGGGGATTACATCAAAGGAGAAATGACACTAGAACAAATTTTGAGTCCAGTGGCACCTCTAAGGCCAACAAAAGTTTATTCAAGGTGTGAGCTTTCATGTGCTTGCCCACTTCCTCAGATACATTGAAATGGAAGAAAATAGTTTATATATATAAGCAGATGTCTCTACAGGATTTAAATGGCAAACATTTCTGGCACTACCAAACTAAGCTGTTTTCTCTAACTTTCCTCTCCATTCCCTTCCCTTCATGCACTTCTAGACCAATTTTTTACAAGAGTTACTGAGCAACCAGGACAGCACAGAACGTTCACAAACATTCTAGTATCTCAAGGAACTAAGCTGTTGGAATGTCCGCAGTGCATATTTGGTGAGGGAAGGGAAAGTTGCCAGACTGACTGGCATTAAAGGCTTTAAGGGCAGGAAGAAAATGGATGGGAAGGCATTCGAGTAAGTTTTCTAGCTGTCACAGGGCAGTTCTTTGATAGGTCTGCGTTTTCCTAAGAGTAGCACAAGTTGAATCCATTAATTCAAAAGGAACGGAGAAGTGCAAATGAGTGTCAGCCATTTTAGTTCACAGAACTCAGCTATTCCTGGTGCAGAAATTTCGGTACTTTAGAAACAAACATAGTTTAACTTAGCACTTATTACTAGCTCTTACAAACAACAATGAATACTAAGTTGTTTGTTAAAGCACAGCCGAACAGTTTAAGCCTAGCTTCACTAGAAACTTATTATAAAAACCCCTAACAAAATCAGAATTAAAATCTCCAGGAAGTAGAATTCTGTCCAACGGCAATAATTCACACTTACCCAACAAACCGCCCGCCCTGTCTCTCTCTTCCTTGGCCCCCCTGCCAAGATGCCTCTGCCAGATTTCGGAAAGCGTCCACTCTGCAGCGGACAAATTCACGGCCATCGTCCCAAATGGCCCTAAGACCTGCAGCAGTGACAAAGGTTCTCGTTCAGTGCAGCATGGCAAGGCGGGAAAGGGAAAAGCTGATAAAACATATTCAAAACCAGACAAGCTGACTGAAGAACTGGATGTGAGATCCCATGAAAGAGTGACAAGAGATGGGATTATGGAACCCACAAATGAAACACCTACTCAAAGAGAGAAAAAAGAAGAATATATGGAACCTCAAACTATTTTAAAAATTGATTATAGATGGTTACCACCAGAAGATACTTGTCTCATCTACAAGGGGAAAAGGCACAAAATTAAGACTTTAAGGCTCAAGAGGAGAAATCAGAGAATGAAGAAGAAAATGAAAACTTATGGAAAAGTTCAAAAATGTTATGGATAAGAGAGAATACATAAGCATCTTTTTTTTTTGATAAGGGAGAAAACAGAGTCTCTCAAGATTTTATAAAGATCTGAATAATATAAATATCATACAGCTGTTCAAAACTATATGAATGAGTGGAAACATTAGAAAATATACTAAAAGAGTATAAAATTTTTATTTCTTGAAATATATGTGAAAGATTATTGTAAGAATATAAGGTGAAATTTGAAAAACAAATTTTGAGGTATTTAAATAGGTAATCTGATGAGGTAATGACATCCCCTATCATTTAGATACCTACGTAAATACTTGTGTATGTATGAAATTACATGGTTTTAGATTTTGAAATCAACTGAATAATACAATAGATAAAGTATACAGACATATAACCTTTCATAGATTATAAAAACTGATATTTAAAAGTGTGCAAAAGATTTTTCTAAGAACATAAGGTGGAACATGGAAAACAAAGATGGTCTGAAGTATTCAAGTGTGTAAACTGAGGATGTAACTGAACCCCTCACATTTATGTATTTGTGTGTTATGTACTTGGGTGTTTGGTCATTGTGAGGTTTGTCTTTCTAAAAATAAAATCTTTAGAGTCATGCTTAGAGATGTGAAGGCCCGGAAAAAACCCGGAAAAATTCGGAAAAATTGAAAAAAGAAAAGAAAGAAAATTGATTATGGAACGTTTTATTTTAACATGATGAATAAAATATTTTAAGACAAGGTGTTCAAATATTTTCCAGATCATTTCTAATATATATATATATGGTATCAGATTGATCTAATTTCTGTATACTGAGGACAAGCAAGTTCTAGGTTACAAACTGAACTCTCCAATGCAAGAGCAAGATGCATTTTTTCCCTTAGGAGGTGCTACTGTCAGAAGAAAATAAAAAGGTTTCAGTTTTGTTTTTGCATGTGGGTGGGTATTCTGTTTGTAATAATTGTTTGGATACACTATATTTTTAATATGCTAGTTGTGATAATTTCATGCCAAGTTAAAATGTCCATAGTCATATTTTATGTTCCTAAAGTAACAGAATGACTTTCAATCTAGATAAGACAAAAGAAATGCTAATGTAGCATTTTTTTCAATTTTCCCAAAAATTTCCGTTTTTTCCCCGGAAAAAACTGGAAAAAACCTGGGGGGTTTTCCGAGCTTCAAAATTTCCGGAAATTTTACATCTCTAGTCATGCTGTAGCATGACAAAGAAAAAGAATCAGGGCAGGATTAGGCTGGTGATGGGTGACCTGGATTCTCAATGGCTTTGCTAAGGGTCCATGGAACACAGACAGACAGTAAGCCTAATTTCTCTAAGATCTGGTCACTCAGGGTGTTTTTAGGCCCCATCCCATAAACGTAAGTGGCTGTCATTTATTTCCCTCAGGGAAACAGCTGAAGTGGGGTACACAGTCACAGTGGGGCACAGTGGAGCCCACTTGCAGGGAGGGCAGTACAGAAGTCGAATATAATAAATATAATTAATAAATAAATAAAACCCAGCCTTTGCCCCAATAATCCAGCATCTGACCCACCACCCCACTCAACAGCCAGCTGCAGATGCTGGACTTCCCTCAGGATCCTCAGGGCAAAATGCTCGCACCTCTTGCGACCATAACAGGAAGTCCTCCACCAGGGCCACCGCCTGGGTACACGTCTCTGGATGCCGTTGCCGGACCCAGCGCTGCATGTCTGGTGGCAGGATGGTCAGGAACTGCTCCAGGATCACCAGCTCCAGGACCTGCTCTTCCATCGGCGTCTTGGGCTTCAGCCACTGATGGCACAGCTCCCAAAGTCTTTGGCAAACTTCTTGGGGCCCCTCAGACTTCTGGGAGTAGAACTGCAAGTCCTCCTCTTCCTCTTCTTCCTCTGCACCAACAAAGTCTTCTTTGGCCTTCTGGGAGGATCCACGCTTGCCAGTATCCAAGTCACTAGAGTCCCGCTCCGCTTCTCTGTCAAGAACTGTGCCAAGACAGGTTACCCACTCTCCTGTTGGCCATCGACATACCTCAGCCGCTTCCTCAAAAGACGCAAGGAAGGCCTTGGTATCACTCCATGAGGGGTGCTCAGACATTGGCGGGTCTTCAAATCTTGAGCGGAGGGAAGGCGTGGCCTTTAAGAACTCCTGCCACTGTGCTTCCCAATGATCCGTCAATGGGTCCTGTTTCACACGTGGTGACCACTTTACCAAGTCCTCAGCGGTGCCACTTGGGACAATCTGAGGGTCTTCTTTCTCCGGTGCATTTTCTGCATCAGGATTCTTGGAAACTGACTCCTCCGTTCTTTTTCCTAGCAGCAGCTCCTTCTCAAGAGAGTTTCGGCCTTCCAGAGTTCCCAGATCTGACATAATTTCTTTCTTGACCAGAAGAGAGCTGTTCTGTTCACCCATGACTCAGCTAACATAGACTTCCTGTCCACTCTCAAAACGTCATGTTGCCCAGCAAACCACCTGGCTCCACAACCCAGGTCCCGTCAGTTTTATACTTGGAATTGTATAGCTTCAACGGGCTGATGGCTGAGATTTCTCCACAGCACTTTGGGATGTCTGCAGCGGTAGAAAAGAGCAAGAGAGTCCAGTAGCACCTTAAAGACTAACAATATTTGTGGCAGGGGAGGAGCTGTGGTGAGTCACTGGCTCCCTTCTTCAGATAAATCCTATGTGAATCCTATGCAGGTTAAGCCTGTGGATTTCAATCGATTGACAAAGCAGAGACTCACTAGAGGAGGGCAGAGTAAGTCTGTTTTGCACTCTTCCCCCCCCCCTTCTCTTCCATGGGGAAGGAGATATCCATCTCTCCCACACACACACCTGTTTTCCATTGCTCTGGTTACACCCGAAAAACACACCAGCCCACATCTGCAAATCTTCCTTGGCTCTGTAAGGTGGGAACCCAAAGTCCCAAATTCCAAAGCTTTCCCCCCTTTATTTTCCCAACTGGACGGGGGGGGGGGGGGTTTCTTACCTACATCCTCACCTGGGCATCTCAACTCCAAATGCCACTTTCTTACCAAGGGGAGGGAATGGGAAGAGGGCTGGACAGGAAGGAATCTTTTAACACTGTTGGCATACCCACAGCTAGGGTCTGTCTAGGAAGCGGGACTCTCTGTAGTTAACCCTTTCGGGTGCGGATATACCTTGCCTTGGAAACACTTGTTTTTCTTTCCCTTTTTCTGCTGTTGTGTTGGTTCCCTGTGAAGTCGGTTGCTGTCAACACGCACAAAAACTGGTCGTGGCACGGTGCATGTGTGCGTTGAATCTTCTGCAGAGCACAAGTCCCATTTCATTGCATTGAATTTTAAGGCACAGGGGGACCGAAACAAAGGGGTTGTTGGTACACAGTGCAGGATCCGAAGTGTGGTTACTCAGGAACCCCCAGTGAACTTCAGCAAGATATACTCTCCAAAACATTTCTCTCTCCCTCCTGTGTAAGAAAAGCTTATACCGTGAATGAAACTTCTTTGGTCTTAAAGGAGCCACTGGGCTGAAACTTTGTTCTGCTGCTTCAGACCAACACAGCTAACCCCACCCGAATCTATCCTTTGTAACAAGAACATAAGGAGAGCCCTGCTGGATCAGACCAATAGTCCATCTAGTCCAGCATCCTGTCTCACACAGTGGCCAGCCAGTTCCTCTGGCGGGCCAACAACAGGGCATATTTATTTATTTATTGTCAGATTTGTACCCTGCCCTCCCCACAGTTCTCTCAGAGCTCTCTCAGCTGCACCTACCTCCCCGCCCTCACCAGCATAGAGGCTGAGGCCTTCCCCTGAGGGGGCCACCTGGCTCTGGGATTCAGAGGATTAGTGCCTCTGAACGTGGAGGTTCCCCTCAGCCACCATGGCTAGTAGCCATTGATAGAATTATCCTCCATGGATCTCCATAATCCCCTTTTAAAGCTGTTTACCCCTGTGGCCATCACTACATCCTCTGGTTACGCCAATAAAGGTTGATTCATTCATTCACTACATCCTCTGGCAGTGAATTCCACATTTTAATCACTCTTGGTGTAGTCTTTCCTTTTGTCTGTCCATCAGCTTCATTGGATGCCCTCAAGTTCTAGTATTTTGGGAGAGAGAAAATTTCTCTTTGTCAGTGGTCTCCACCCCATGCATAATTTTATAAACCTCTATCATGTTGCCTCTTTTCTAAACTGAAAAGTCCCAGACTCTTCAGCCTTTTCACAGAGGGAAAGGTACTCCAGCCACCTAAACATCCTGGCTCTCCTGTTGTCTACAGTTGTTTATATGTCTTTATTTTTTAGACAACGGATCATTGCTACTACTATCCATTTTTGCCTGTTTTGAGAAAGATCAAGTTTAGCTTTTAAGAAAGGGATTTTTCAGATAGAGGAAGATGATCTTCCAAAGCCACTGTGGTGTAGTGGTTGAGAGTCTCAGACCCCGATTTGGATCCCCACTCATAACATGGAAGCTCCCTGAGTGGCGGGCCAGTCACGCCCTCTCAGCCTAACCTACCTCAAAGGGCTGTTGTGAGGATAAAATGGCAGAGAATTATATAAGTCACTTTGAGTCCCCATTGGGGGAGAAAGGTGGGGTATCAATGAATTAAAATAAATAAAAAATAAATAACAGTGGGATTTTGTAATGTACTCCGCCATGACCACGTGCGCGACCATTGAGCCATGCGGTCAGGCCGAACATCGGAGCTTCGCTCCTCTAAAGACAATAGCCAAGCGGATCCTAGCCCGCACCTATCAGAGGGCCAGGTCCGCGGCCGAGAGCCTATGGGACTCTCGGCCACTGTAAATAGCCTATAGGGAAATTGGGGGTGTGTTTAGGTGGTGGGTTTTCAGTGCATATAAACCGGCCTGCGAGCCGGCTTTCTTTGTCTTGTTCTATCCTAATAAAAGTACTTTGCTGAAATCACTCGACGTTTCTCAGTACTTTTCAGATTTGGTGTGTGTGTGCGCGCGCGTGGGGAGTTGCTTGCTCTCCATCCACAAGTTAATGCTACTCAATTTGGCCTCTGTTGATTCTGGCTCTAGCACATCACCTAAAATTTACCTTCAGCTTTAGTAATATAAAGACTAATGTGTCTTTGTTCTGCTCACTGCCTTACAAGAGAAGAAAGGTGTGACGTCCTCCTTATTGGGGAGGACTAGTTTCAGTTTAAAAGATCTCTTTATTTCGCTTAATTGGGTAGAATCTGCTGCCACCAGGAAATTTTAAGGATTTCCAAACCTTCAGCTTTAGTAATATAAAGACTAATGTGTCTTTCTTCTGCTCACTGCCTTACAAAAGAAGGAAGGAAACTGGTTTTGTGAGGATTAGGTGAGAGAATGAAAGATTTAAGTGAGACTAGCATCAACTACAGATCAGGCTGACCACTACAGCTCTGTATGAGTCCCCAGTCTGCATCCATTATGCTTTTACCATGACTTTGTAGGCTGGATTTGTGAGATTTAGGGGAGACAAAGGCTCCAGTGAGGCTAGCATCAACCACAGGTGAGGCTGACCACTGCGGCTTTGTATGAGTCACTGGTAGTATCCATTACATTTATAGAAAAACAAATTAGATTTATACCCCACCCTTCACTACCTGAAGGAGTCTCAGAGTGCTTACAATATCCTTTCCCTTCCCCTCCCCACAACAGACACCCTGTGTGAGGTAGAGCCAGTTTGGTGTAGTGGTTAAGTGTGCGGACTCTAATCTGGGAGAACCGGGTTTGATTCCCCACTCCTCCACTTGCACCTGGCTGGATGACCTTGGGCAAGCCATAACTCTGGCACAGCTGTCCTTGGAAAAGAGCAGTTTCTGTCAAGAGTTCTCTCAGCCCCACCTACCTCACAGGGTGTCTGTTGTGGGGAGGGGAAGGGAAAGGAGTTTGTAAGCCGCTCTGAGACACCTTTGGGTAGTGAAGGGCAGGGTATAAATCCAATCTCTTCTCTTCTTCTAGGTGGGGCTGAGCGGGCTCTTTCGAGAACTGCTCCTGAGAACAGCTGTGAGAGAACTTGTAACTGACTCAAGTTCACACCAGCAGCTGCATGTGGAAGAGTGGGGAATCAAACCTGGTTCTCCCAGATTAGAGTCCGCACTCCTAACCACTACACCAAACTGGCTCGCTCTTTACCCTGTCCTTCTTCCAAGGAGCTGAAGCTGCTACACATTGTTCTCCCCTGCACATACACAAATCTATCATACATTGCTCCCATTTACCTCCTTTCGATCAACCTCTGCTAGGAAGTGTGTCTGGCCTCTGCACTGCAGCTGACCGAATCACTCAGCCACTCCCCAGACAAGGATGCAATTGAATTTACACACTCTCAACAGAGGTTGCCAGTTGCATCTCTTTCTGAGTTGCTGTTCTAGGCTCCCTCCTCCTTCTAACGTCTCCCTTGGGTGCAATTAAGTCTACCGTGGGATACAAATATAATAAATAAATAAATGGTAGTAATTTCTGGTGCAAAGAGGCTACAGAATCACCTGTCTTCAAAGGAAGCTACTCAGTACCCTGCTCTGGACTCTTTTCCACTGAGAAGGCTGCCCAGAACAGCAACTCACACAGAAACATCCAAGCTCCCCTGAAGACAGCAAATATGATATCCAGGCTCCTCACAATAAGGTAAGTGCAAATGGTGGCGTTCTTATTAAATAAACTCTGTGGACAAACACAGCCACACAGCCTTCATAAAGTTACTTTTATTGGTATTCGCAAGGATGGAAGAAACAAACGTATTTTCAAACTTTCAGGCAACACTTTCTGCATTGACAAGGAAGCTTTGGCTGCAAAGGATTCTGGGAAAGGTTCTCTGGCGCACACGGCTGCAAAGGATTCTGGGAAGGATTCTGTGCTGTGGCGGGTTCTGTGCTGTGCGCTGCTGCAGAGGATTCTGGGAAGGGTTCTGTGCTGCACACTCAACGGCCTTACGGCCTTACCTCTGCACCGTGGGAACTGAGAATCCCACTGACTCTTGAGAGCACCTAATGCTGCTCCTGTGGCTGGACAAGGCGGGGGAGGGGGGGACTTCACCATCATTCAAGGTTTCATTTAGGAACCCTCAGATAACCACTCGAGGTTCCCTTGAAAGCCACCGGAACAAGCAAGTGATGCGCTTGTTAAGAACGTATGCCCAGCGCAACTGTGAAACCATCAAAAGAAAAATACATTTACAGGAAAGGAATGAATAGTAACCACATCAACTGCATCTCTCTCCTCAGGTTATGGAGTGCTTCAACTGCCCTGTATCTTCCTTTCTTATGATGGAATCCACACCCTGTTCCTTGTACGCTCTTCTAAAGCTTCAGCTCCTGGACGGTCCTGTTGGACAGGGAAATCCAAGAACTGAAGGATTACAATAGTGTTTGGATTCAATCCTTATTTGTTAGCAAGCAAT